GAGTCTGATGAATCACTGGATTTGTCATCTCCCTCTTTCCGAGTCATAGAAAAGGGAATTACAGAACAAGAACCGTGTCTGCTTAAAGCAATCGACATACTCTTGTCCCTAAAGGATAAAATTGGTACCGCGGTTGGAATACCGTCTTCTGTAGACATCGAAAGGAAGCTAAGCGCAACCATTACATCACTTATCAAAGGACGAGCAGTTGGTTCTTCTTGTAAACACATTGATGTTATTGCCACTGCTTGATTTAAGCCTCTCTCTGAGAAATTCTTCCTCAAGAGAGGATCTGCCATATCCGGGTATAGTTTCGGGTCTCTAAATATCGGTTGTGCCTGCGTAAAACCCAAAACATATCATTAAAAAGATCCCAACTTGACGATTCAGAGAGAAGGAAGAGATGTGGGGTTTAATGGGTTTTACCCAAGCAACTAGATTTTGTTCATCATTAGGCTTAGTTGTGTCAACAGCTCTTCTACCGGTAATGAGTTCGAGCAACACAACTCCAAAGCTATAAACATCTGATTTGACAGTGAGATCATCCCCTCGAGTGTACTCGGGCGCGGAATAACCATAAGTGTCCATGACCCGGGAAGAAAGAAACAAGCTATCACCTGTCCCGGGCTCTAGATTATGCAAACCAAAATCACAGAGCTTAGGGTAAAACTCCTCATCTAACAAGATGTTCGAAGCTTTCAAATCTCGGTATATCACCGGTGGATTCACTTTATCGTGCAAGTAATCCAATCCTTGCGCTGCACCAAACGCAATCTTCATCCTCGTTATCCAATCCATAGGCTTCTGGTTTGGCCTTTGTTCTGCATATCAAGTCCATTATCAGCCTTCCTCTCCTTTTGAACACTAACAAAGAGAAAATGTTTTGAAAGCTTAATAATATACCGTAAAGATGGTCTTGAAGGGAACCTCCAGAAACATATTCAAAGACTAAAAGCCGTTGATCTCCATCGGCGCAGTACCCGATAAGCTTAACAAGATTCGGGTGCTCGAGTTTAGCTAATGACAAGACTTCAGCTTGAAACTCTTTGTTACCATGTAGTCCATGCTTATCTAGCTGCTTTACAGCCACCAACTACACTCCCAAAAAGCAATAGAAACAACTTCAAAGAAAATCGTCGAAAAGCCAACAATCTACCAATTCTCTAATCCTTAATTATGAAACTAACTCAATTAGGTAACAAACCTGGCCAGTAGATTGAAGGGTTCCTTTATAAACCCTACCGAATCCACCTTCTCCTAAAAGACATTCTTGCCGGAAATTCTTCGTCGCCGTCGCTAATTCCCGGAAATTAAACGTTTTCACCGGCGTTTGCTCTGTTTCTTCCGGCGGCTTCGTCGTCGCCACTGAAACCAAACAACCAAATCTTAAATCAATCCAAGAAACACAAGTTTTCAAATTCCATTATGCAGTCGCGGGATAAAGAAAGCTAACGTTTTTTTTCAAAATCAAGAAATGGGTTTTCCAAATTCCATTACAAAATCGGATTTTTATTACCAGGTGGTGGTCTGAATTCGTGTTCGTCGTTTTCGTTAGTCTCGTTGTTCTTACAGGGAGAGTTTTTGCTCCTTTGCGAAGAGAAACACGGAAAACAATTCATGATTTTTATTCAAAATCAATTTCGTGTGAAGAATAAAAAAAAGGACCATTAACAATGGCGGGGTCCTTCAAGAGATTGAAGGACCCGCGTTAAAGAGTAAAAATATTTTGGGAGATTGTAATGAAAACAAAGAGAGGAGGAAGAAAGCGAAAGAGGAAACTTTTTGAAGCCAATCAGAATACATGAAGAAACAATTAACTTCGATGATCCATGCGAGAAGAAAGGGAAATGGTTTTTTTTTTTTGTTCTTTTACGAATTCTATTTTGGAATTGTTTTTGCTACTTTG